CGTAAAAAAAAAAAAAAAAAAAAAAAAAAAGAGAAAATTAGGTTCTCTTATTTTGACAAAATTAGAGTTAAACAATTAAAGAGTAATTTTAATTAGTCGAATTACAAGTATGATTTCACTAATTAGAAGTAGAACTTACTTCTTCCCATGGTGACAGCTCCGGTAAATTAAGGTCAAAAGCAAAAACAGAGTTGACTAAAAGTCAAACGATGAAAATCAACTGAGGGAAAGATACCAAAGGGCTGAAACTGATTAAAGGAAACAGAGGAACTACACTTGTTTGAATGGAGGACCGGTGTATCCATAAGGAAACTTTTGGGGAGGGAAATTGAAGTTTCTCAGATTGTTAAAAGGTGTTTTTTGAAGAAGAAAGGGAGCAGGGACGAGATGCTTTGGTATTTATATGTGAAATTTTACAAGAGAGAAGAAGAGGTGGTTTCGGTGAGCTTGGAGTATTTGGGGATTATGTGGAAGGGTGTAGGGAGTTGATGTGGTTAGTGTGATGACGTGGATAGATCAGGACCGATAGTTTTCTTAATCGCGGGAGAATGTTCCCGGGGTGTTTTGGAGTCCAGTCGTATACGAGTACGACTCACGCAAACAGATATCAATTGTATACTTGTATTTTTTAAGTAAGTAATTTAGTGGGCGTTTGATATAAGAATGGTAAAATTTCGCAAAAAGAAATTTAAGTGTGTTTGGATATAAATATAATTTGGGGCTATTTTTGAATTTTTATGAGTAATTTAAAGCAAAAATTTTGAAAAAATAGTTTTTTGGAGTTTTTAAAATTTTTAAAAAATTCTAAAATTCATTTTTAAGTGAAAAATTTAAAATTTCATGATCAAACACTGATTTCGATAAAAAGCGAAAAAAATTTTAAAAAGTAAAATAGAACTATGGCCAAAGGGGCCCTTAGTGGGCATTTGGACATAAGAATTGTAAAATTTCAAACAAAAAAAAGTGAAAAAAATTTAAGTGAAAAAATGATATTTGAAAATTAGAGTTGTGTTTGGATATGAATATAATTTTGGGTTGTTTGTTAGTTTTTGTGAGTGATTTGAGTGAAAATTTTGAAAAATAGTTTTTTTTGGAGTTTTTTAAATTTTCGAAAAATTCCGAAATTCATCTTCAAGTGAAAATTGGAAATTTTATGGCCAATCACAGATTTCTAAAAAGATTAAAAAATTTCGAAAAAAAGTGAAAATATTTCATGGCCAAACGGGCTCTTAGCTGCGTTTGGTCATAGATTCCCAAATTTATTTTGAAAAATTTAATTTGGGTGAAGTTTGGTTTGAAGATGAAAATGTGTTTGGACATCAGTTTTCAAAACATATTTCACTTTTTTTTTTAAATATGAAACATGACTTATACCCACAAGTTGTAAAAACTATCACAAATACGCAACAGTACCTTCATCAATATCATTCATTGTCATTATCACAAACTATAGTCCTGAATTTAAATAAATTTGGTATAAAATTATTATTTTTATAATGAACTACATAATACACTATCAGATGGCCGAGAAGACGAAGCAGTACTGTTATAAAATAATAAATTGTGAGCTCTTTTATAAAATACAAAAGTTTGGGGCAATTTTTAAAAAATGTAATAGTAATACTTTGGGCCACAATTGGGTTTTGAGTTTTGGGTTTTGAGAATTTGCCAAAATATGAATAAAATTTATGAACAAACATGTATTTGCCAAAAAATAATTTGAAAAAAGTTTGGCAAAATCTATGACCAAACGGGTCCTTTAATCTCTTCTTCCTTTTTTCCTTTTTCCTACAATCACTTTTCTTCGTTTGGGATAATTTTTCCATGTTCTTAATATTTTAATAATAAAATTTAAGAACTTAAGTAATAATTTCTGTAATAATATTTAAATCATTTGTTTATTTAAATAGCACCGGTTGTAAGGTAATCTTTATATGTCATTAACATCCAAAAGTACTTTTTCAAATGAGTATCAACTACAAATTGTTTCTTTAATAATAGATTGTATTGTTTTAATAAATTGATGATTGAGGTTTATTATTTATGATATTTGAAAGTTATATTTAAAATTAAAGCTCATTTGGAGTAGATTTTAGGTGTTGAATTGCGTATTGGATTGTAAAAACTTGAAAAACAAGTTTATGTTTGAGCAATTGAGATTCAAAATTTGAAATTGCATTGAAGAAATTGAACTACTTAAGATTCGAACTTCTCAAGTTGCATTTAAAAGATAGAAGAACTTTAGATTTAATTTTTGAAGTTGTATTGAAAAGATTGAACTACTTCATATCCGAACAGGTATACTTTATAATTCTTTATACAATACGGATATAACTTTAATAGTGGCCAGAAAAGTAGATATATATAAAAATACCCTTGTATTTGTTGAAAATATTAAAGCAGCATACTAGGTTTTCAAAAAAGGGAAGGACCAAAAAAAAAAGCATATTGGGCTATTGGCGGAAGATGTAAGGACATTTTGGTTCAGCCCATAAATCACAATAATCTGTTAAGCTTGACGAAGGCCCAACATAAAGGCACACACAATTGGTTTAAGGGGGAGTTGCGAAAATTATCGGTAAGTCCGGTTGGAGATTTGAAACCCACATATTTAGTATAGGATATAAAAATTATAAAATCATGCCCAGTTATGTATCACGAGGGTAGTGCCATTGCATGAGACTCTAATCTTTGGTGTACTGGTTAAAGACTTACGTCACATTAATACTATAAGTATTTTTAGGAAGTACTTTAAAAAGATAATCAAGTATGAGAAGTATACCAAGTGATTGAGGCAGACAAGAAAACTATGGTGATAGAAGTTCACAGCTTAGTCAAGTTAGGAGTCCGACTTTCAGACTCCGAAGGTGGTGGGATTGTTTTCTAAAACAGGACTTGTTCCTCCTTAGTACCCGAAGTGAAGGAGATCCCTACTTGTTGAAGTTGAACGAGGGGATTCACAGTAACAAGAATATATTGGTTGGTTTGTGTTTCCAATAATTTCGAAAAAAAATGAGGAATTTACACAGAATACAACTTATTTAAAGTTTATTTAAATAAGTATATTTAAATAGTTTTATTTTAGAAAATTACATAAATATAGTACATTTTAAAATCTATAACTTTTTGTATACCTAATATATCTCTCTTGAGATTATCTCACAGAAATATATCCTAATATATTTCTCTTAAGATTCTCTCTCACCTAAACATATACTCATTTAAAATCTACAACTTTTCCCCCTGATTTCTTCTTCCCGTCTCTTACATTCTCCTCTCACCGGTCATTTCCTCCATTTATATACAATAGAATAGCTTTTCAATTCATATATCCACCAAAACCATTAGATGAAATCATGAAATTGAGACTAGAACAATAAGTCAATAAGGTTATTTTGTTGTCACAATTGTCCAGGCAAGAACATAACAAAAGTGGATTTGAGTATGCATAAGGAAAACCGTGAATTCATCTATGAAATACATATCAAGTTCCAAGCACAAGGCATATGACTTCTTTAGAACTACTACACGAGATCACTTTTACTGTAATAGAGCAGGAACCATTCTGTCAAATTCCTTTATTGTATTTCTTATCACTGAACTTGTCTTCTTCCAACAATTACTATATATCATACAATATATAATATATAATACGTATATTATAAAATTATATAATATATATAATATAATATATTATATATAGTATGCATGATATTATATGCTTACATATATGTATATAGTATATTATAAATTTAAAGGAAAATGGGATTTTTGCAAAGTTAATTAATTAACTATATATAAATATATATATATAGAGAGAGAATGCGCATGATATAAGCACGAAGATGGATATGAGTGTGGGAGTTTAACAAGAAGTCAGAAAAGGTGAAAACTTATAAAGGTTGAATTGACTACGAACAAACAACACCAGAAAACTCTAAAGAGGAGATCTACAAAGTGATTTATGCAAAAATGACATATAATATCTCTTAATAATCTGTTAATTAATATCTAACTAAATGGAGATTCTTAGGTTTGGATTGATTTGAATATTAGTCGATTTCCTTAATTATAGGGATTCTATCGTTTTTTTGGATACTAACTCTAGATATTTAATTTTATGAAATTAAAACAAATATTGTACAAAATGTAATTTCAATTAAAGTTGTATATAATCTCTTATAACATATGTATTTATGAAAATGCCCCAAAAGAAAGACCAGGCTTATCAAGATGCTCGTATTATCAACCAAATGTATATCTATCTATCTATATTTATACTATATTAAAAATACGAATCTTTTTAGTGAAGTATCATTTGTCTTTTTTATTCTTAAAAGATAGAGTTCATATTATTGAATAAAATTTATTTTTCTAAACTAGTTTCTATGTACATGTTTTACATGTGAAAAAATACCCAGCTAAGAAAAGAAAGATGAAATAAATAAAAAGTAAAGTAAGAGAATAAATTTAGAAGCGTACAATACAATAGACATGTTTAGTAGTAAACAATGCTAATTCCATACAACTTATCTCTTATAAAGATATACTATTAAAGACATCACTTTAGCTCATTCGTATCATGTATGCTTTATTATCACTGTTACGTTTTATATTATTTATATGAACAAAGCAAAGCAAGGAAGATTTGAGTGGGCATATGAGAATATTTTGAATATTGAACTATAAGAACTTCTTCTTCTTGACTCTTTACTACGAGAATAAGCTTTTGGTATTTAAACATGCCAACAATGTATGTTAGCCTTGCAGCCTATCTACATGCTTTACCGTTCTTCTTTTTTATTTTTTTTTCTTTCTCTCGCCTATGATATTAAGATTTAAGTCTTAATAGATTAAGCTCGATTAATATTATTTTCTCTTTAAAAATAATGTTCTTCAATAATTTAAGAAAAGATGAACCAAATTGATATAAGTAAATTTTTCTCGTGTTTATGATTATGCACGCCTAGTTTAAACTGATTCTTTTCATATGTACATGTAAGTAATGTCATCTATTTTCAATCCAATTGAAGCAGCATTGTAGCTACATGAAAGTCTCAAGCCCTAACTACAAGGTTGCATGCTGGGTTAGTTCCTAGACTTAATAATTTTGTCCTACGATTTGCATTGTTTTTTATCAGGAGCCAATTTTAATTCTTAGAAGTTTGTGTCACATGCTCAGCGACTCAATTGGTATGCTGAAATTTTCAGTACAATTTATTCATCATACTAAAGTTGGATGTCCTTATAAACTCTTTTAAGTGTGTATATATATATATATATATATATATATACATCTTATATCGATATATTATATATACATCTTATATACTATATATACATTTTATGGCCCAATTAGCCCGTTTACCCGCGGCCCGGGATCGTTTACCCCGGGACTAAACGATCCCGGTCCCGGACCTGTCCTTAGAAAAAGTCCG